ACATTGAACATACTTTATTTCATCTCAGGCCCGTGGACCAATCATAATATAAATGAACATGAGAGGATAGCATTTTAATATCTCTAACTGAGTTTTCTAGGACAGAAAGCATTTTCCATCTTAGTAATTAATTACATTAGGTATAATAGCCTCCAATGCAAGTGCTTGCAGTTAGCAGCCTGCTGTCTTGGTTTATACCCAATTTTGACAGGCTTTTATTGACTTGGACCCTTATGCACACTTTTGCAAAATTTGAGTAAACCATGGACTTTATGGTAATTTAAACTGTATTATCCTTCCCACAATATTGGCAGAATCAGATGAAAAGCAAAATGAAACTTGACCCCATATTTACTGCAATCATTGACACATGATAGAAACAAAACGACTGCTTTAACACAATTTTCACATGGCCATTTGATAATGAAGATACTGCACTAAAAAATGGCAACTGCCAGGTTACAGCAGCTTAGGTTCCAGAGAAAACTATGTAAAAGACGTCAAACAGATATCAGTGTAAAAATGTCAATTTGGTAATCCTGATAAAAACAAATACCTGTTACCATAGCAAGTGTATTGAACTATTTTAGCAGATTTAAAAATGATCTTAAAATATTTGCCCAACTTCCTTCTGGTCTTAAAACACAGCCTACAGTATTTCCTTATACAGGGCAGCAAAATAGTGGTAATCGACAACATGGATACGGGACTGAAAAATACGCACATTGAAATATTAGATTGTATTACCTCTTTCAATTTTAATAAATTGATTAGAATGTGTTACAATATAGCAAGGTGAGGGATTGTGGAAGTACCATTTTACTTGACCAAGTTTTATTCTGGTTGATATAATCACGGACAGTAAATCTTTGCTGTCAAATGAGGCAACAAAAATGGCACTGCATCATTCAACTTAAATTGCAGTGGTATTAAATTTTATTTCACTGCATGTTCCAAGAAACACAATGTAAGTAATTATGTATGAAATTAATATTTGTGATTGTAACTAAGCTGGGCATAAGCACTATAACTTTCTCGTGCTGACATTTATTAATTATGAACATAGTACTCTCTAGGAGATAAATAACAACTGGGTAGAAGTGAAATTATCAAATTGTCAATCTTTTAGTGCAAGCTTAAAGTGAAGCAGTTGTCAGAATTAACATTCCCCGAAGTCAGCTTGGCCAAAAAAAAAACAAATGCCAGTGAAATGCAGCCACCCGACCAACACTCCTGTAACGGAAGGCACGATGGTCATAAAATCATGAAACAGGAAAATGAAGGGATTTAAATCTGTTTTATTTATGTTTGGTTTGTATTTTGATTTAAATACTGCTGTCTGTAAAAATCCAACTTGTTCACTACATAAGGAAAAGCAATTGTGGGGATTCTTTTTCCAAACAATGAGTAAAGTTTGGTCATGCCAAAGCAATTTTATCACTTTCAATAATCTAATAATTTTTTTTAAATTAAGCAGCAATCTTCATAGCATGCAATGAGATCAAGTTCAGGCTACTCAATATTGTGTCCACAAAAAATAATTCTGGATACATTATCTCAAGGTACCCATTTAGTATTTGCCTGAAATTATTCTAAGTCGTATATACATCAACAGCGATCCATTTTAAATGTCAGCTGAATGGTTATAGTTACACAATAGAACTAAAAGGTAAACTATTTGTAAACTGAAGAAATTAACTAAAGTGGCAAATGCTTACAATAAAAGTACTTCTTCACTCAAGAATGTCATTCGCTCCAATACAGGTTTTCAAAATGGTCAGTCATTTCCAATCAGCATGCATAAGTGACTGATGCCAATTCCATGTAAAGGCAAATGGTTAATAGAATTTGCAGCCGATATCAACCTGAAATGTTAGCTAGGGAGTAGCAAATACTTCACTCCTTGAAATGAAGATGTTTGTAAATTTCCGACTTTATTGAATACAATGAAGGGGAGGTGCTGGTGCAGTGGTAACGTCGCTAGACTGGGAATCCAGAACCTTAGACTAATGGTCTGGAGACATTCAAATAAATAAAAACTGGAATAAAAAGATGGCCTCATAGTGACCTCGTAACCACTGTCAATTATTGTAAAAACTCATCTGATGTCCTTCTTCCATTCTTACCTGGTCTGGTCTACATGTGACTCCAGACCCAGAGTAATGTGGTTGACCTTTAACTACTTTCTGAGCAATCTGGGATGGGCAATAAACATTGGCCTAGCCAGAAACACCCAAACCTGTGAACAAATCTTTAAAAAGTGGAAAAGTTTCAGTTTGCAATTCAAGTAATTCAACTTTTAAATGAAGAAGGTTAAAAAAAAGACTGCAACTATTGAGAGAGGTAACTTCAATAATCTTCAGTCCTGTCACACTTCTATCATTGTTTTTTCTTCGGATTCAACACCCAGCTCTCTTTTTACGAGAGTTTAAGATAACTCATGGTCTAAGGGACCTGAAAATCAACACGCTGGTTGACAGGTGGTTAGATATCATCAGCACACACATGAAGGCTGACAGCATGTCTGCAGAAGATAGCACCCAGGAGAAGCACGTCGGAGGTGGGGAGGGTGTCAAGAACACATCCTTGGAGGAATTCCAGAGATGCTGGTGGTGTTTTTTTTGAAAGAAATCAGTCATTGATAAATGTCAGTTAAAATGAGGTGTGTAAGAAGTGCAAACAGAATTGAAGAATTGAGAGCTGATGGAGTAGGATGATGTCATAGTATCAATCTAATGCTGAAAGAGGTCAAGGAGAGCACTCTAATCAAAGGTCTCTCAGCTCAAAATGTTAACTCTGTTTCTCTCTTTACAGGTGCTTCTACACCTGATGAGTTTCTCCAGCACACTGTTTTTGTCTGAAGCAGAGTAAGTAGGGATAAAACATCATACTCACAGGCATGTTATACTGACTTTGGCCAGAATAACTGCTGCACTGTGTGTAAGATGGAAGCCAATCCAAAAAGGATTTAAAATGTGGAGTTTTGAGAGAGTCAAGAATGAATCAGACAGGTTTATGCAATATTCTTGTCCCACAACCGAAGTCACAATCTTCAATGTAATTCAAAAGTGCTGTTCAAGATCTTTCACAAAAATGAACCACTATAGAGACAATTTCGACAGTACTGAAAACGTACACGCACTCACTCCAATGTATTTGGCAAAATGTTCAAAGAGAAACTTTAAAGCAATGAGCTTAAAAAAAAGAACAGATTTTTCATTCCCCATTGTGCAGAATAAGCACGTCTACGGCACTCAACCTTTGAAACCACTAGCAACAAACATCATTGAGGAATGCTACTAAAACCTTGGCTCTGTTGCTAAAACCTATTAAGCAAGCTCATCTAAAGGATTTTTCTTTGAGTTTCATCATTTTATTGCTTTCTTTTTATAAATCTTTGAATAATGTTTCTGATAGATAATGCCCCAACCAGATATCCTCCAGACCCCCCAATATTCATTTCTACAGAAGGTACCTGAATAATTCATTTGACTAGCGATCAGCCGCATTTAAATTTGCTGATTATTTTTTAACTAACAATGGCCTTTTCAGCATTACCATGTTTATCAAAAGGGTTTTGACTTATCAGCCATGATGCCAGTTCCAGGACTGAAAAAACTTCATTTATATGGATAGAGATGCTGTGCCCGGAGAGAAAAGGAGGTTAAGAGGAGATTTTCAAAGATATGCAAGATATCTTGGAAAGATATATCTTGGAAAACCATAAGACAAGAACCAAGGTAATAAAGTAAGTTAAAGAAGAAAGGAGCTTTGTCAGTGAGCAGCTGGTTAAAGCATGGAACTGAGCCCAGGGTTCTAGAGAAAACTGTCAACCAGAATAGCTTTAAGTTAGTCAACACTCCATTTGCAGACACTTTGACTCATAAAGGATTCAATATCAATGAAGAATAGTTAGGTAGCAGGCCTACAATAATGATACTCTAGAGCACACAGAATTGGATATAACCTGCAAACACATGGAAAGTGATCATGGCTTGCAAATGGAGCTACCCAAAAGTAGGAAGCAAGTGATAAACAATAGCAAGCAAAGGATTTAACCTTTAGTTGATCTGATATGTTAGAACAGAGATGCAGTGACTGATTCTGAAGTGGAAATATAGAGATCAAAATGAAATGGGCAACATTACCAAACAAGGCAGAAAGATTGAGGATGGCAAGGCAGAAGAGATAAAACTGCCTTCATTCCAGATACAAAGTTCCCTTCCACTGTTTTTCTTCCTCATAACTCCTTGAGTATTCAACCTTAAGTGTGATATTTTAAAAGCTGAACCTTGGGATGAAACATTTTCTGAGGATACCAGTATAATACCCTAGGTATGCACACAAAATTTGTGCCACATGAATTTCTTGATATCTTGGTTAAATTTGTGTAGAATTACAGAACTAATTTAGAATGTTTATAACAAAGGAGGCCATTCAGCCTGCAAAATACTTGCTAGCTGTCTGCAACAGTAATTTAGGTAGTCCTACACACTCATCCTTTTCTGTAACCCTGAAAACATTTTGTTTCAAATATCCATCCAATTCTCTTTGCAAGCGATGCTTGACTTTGCTTCCGTTCCCCTTTCGAGCAGTGCATTCCTGATTGCAACCACTTCTTGTATGTAAAAGCTTTTACGTCACCTTTGATACTTTCAACAATCACCTAAAATTGGTGTTTCCCAGTTCTCAACCTTCCCACCAATGGGAACGGTTTATGTCTACCCTCTCTGGCCATACCCCTTCTGATTTTGAACACTATTATTACATCTCCTCTCAACCTCCTATGCACCAAGAATAATTTCAGCTTCTTCAATCTACCTGCGTAAATGAAGTATGTTTAACCTTTGACAAAGCTGGTGTGCTCAGCAGCTGTACTGAATAATACTCAAACAAATCCCAGTTGTTGCCAAACTAAACCAAAAGGTAATTTTAATGAGCATCCTTGTGGGAAAAAAAAAATCATCTTTTCTGTAGAACGAAGCAACCACATTACTTACACTATCTACAGCCAAGATCTTTGCCCAAATGAAAACCAGGAGGGGCCTTAACTCTCGAGCTGAACTCTGAAGCAGTTTCAAAACATATGGGAAAATACCAACAGATAATGCCTGTCAAGGAAAAATACAGATGAAAGAAAATGAGATACTGAAGTGGCCTGCATCGAAATCAACAGCAGAATATCATTTAGCTTGCCAAGTCATTCCCAGTTGAGATTGCTCACTTTCCAGAAGTAGATTCCAATAAAATGAAACAAAATTTAGCTTCTAGAAAGAAAGTAAAAAATAAACTTAACAAATAATGGTGGTCCGAGTGTCAAATTAGGAACATTTACTTGTTCACAAGCAAAAAGAAAATACATTTTAGCAGAAATTATCTAACGAGTCCTAAGTTCTGAAAATTCAAATAATGGTAGATTGCAGTAGGAAAATACAATGACCTCAACACAGTTATGATACATTGAACTGAAGGATGAATGAAATCCATTAAACCTTCATGTTAGAATATGGGACATACTAGACTCACGGCCCAGGGACCCAAATCTAAAAATCTTCCCAACAAATCCAGTGCTCGCAGACGGTGGACCTGGCTAAGCAGCACCTAGAGAGAATAGAAAGGAAATAATTAGCACAAGATAGCAAAGTTCAATCTTTTCCATTTGATATCGCGTATTGAGTACTAATCCACCATCCAGTTTCATTTGGTATATGAGGCAAACAACAGAATTAAATAGCATGATATTCAAACCACAAATCAAATTAATTTCTGTTTACCTTTTAAGTAATTGAAGCCTAAATTATGGTAGCAGCTAGCAACTTAGCATGTAATAAAAAAAAATTATCACTCACAAACAGTTTAATTCAGGAAACTTACTGTGATAAAATAAATTCTTGCACAGGAACACAAAAGCATGATGAAGGGACCAAGTTAATCGTTGCTAAATTTGCAGAGTTCACAATTATGGGTAGAAGTTTAGAAGGATGAGAAGTAAACTTATTGAGACACACAAGGAAGGGATTTAACAGGGTGGATTCTGAAAGGGCATTTCCCGTTGTGGGAGAGGCTAGTTCTAAAAGACAGTTTAAAAATAAAGGGTCGCCTATTTAGAACCGAGAGGAGTTTATTTTTCCATACAGGATCATGAATCTTTAAAGTTCTCTTCCCTAAATGGTTGAGGTGGGATCACTACATTTTTTTTTAAGGCAGAGGTAGACAGATTCAGAACCAATGTAAAAGAATAAAATGTTATCAGGGTCAGCAGGAATACAAAGTTGAAGTTACAATCAGATCTTAATGAATAGTGCAGCAAGTGCAAGGGCCAAATGGCCTGTACCACAATACATAGGAGCAGAAGTAGGCCATTCAGCCCAACAAGTCTGTTTTGCCATTCAAAACATGGCTCATTTGATAATCCTCAAGTCCATTTTCCTGCCTTTTCCCCATAACCCGTGATTACCTTACTGATTGAAGATGGACGTTCCATGTTCATTGGTTAACTTCTAATATCTTAAGCACACTCAAGAATTAAATTTACACAGAACACAAGTCATCTATTGTCTTTAAAAAGATACACAATGGCAGGTCAGACCAAGCCTAAGTTGTGTGGGTTGAATCTGATCTGTTTCCGGATTTTGAAATGAGCCAAGGACAGTGTTAAATAATGTATGAACAATTGCTTGAAAATAAATCTGCCGGCTCAAAAAGCTGATGGCTTTATCACTGTTAGCAGAAAATGCTGACACCAACCTGCCTCTGTCCCAGTTAGAATCTACAATGTCATGCAGAATGGTGTCTGAGAATGGACACCTGTCTCTAACCTGCTTATCTTCAGTTAGTCATCAACTTGCTCAACATCTAGTGCTACTAACTCACCTTGACTGTAGCTCCACAAACAGGATAGATGAGAACAATGAGAGCAATATAAAGAGCAGAGAAAACAGGAGAATAGGGGAACACACAAACATAAGGGAGGAACAACAAGACAGAAACAGAGCCAAAAACCAAAACATTTACAGTGAGAAAAATATGGTCAGATAAGACTGGAGGTTCTGAAAGCTTGAGCACTTCCATGAAAAGCAGGCTACCCCATTTCTATTATCAAAACTATTGCAAACAGAACTTAAGACCCAATATATTCCTCAAGTAAGACATTTTTCAATCCAGCCAAAACTTTCTTTCAAGATTAAAACTTGGTGGAAGATATCAGCACTAACAACTCACTCAACTATGTAAGACTTATTTCAGGGCCCAGTTACCTAAAAATAGGCACTGGCTAAGTAATTTTAAGACAGTTTATTAAAGTTATTAAGAAGCAGATTTTGGTTTTTGCTGACAGTGTTGGTCTATTTCAGTTCCGATGTCACAAAGCATTTGGTCACCCCCTCAACACAGCCACCACATCAGCCCGCTACCATACATCCAACATACAGCTTTACTTCTGGGAGCCGATTTATCAGCTGTTTGAACCTTCTGGTCCGACGAATATATGAAAGCTACCTAGCATATCAGAATGAATACGTACCTCTCTGCCTATCACCCAATTGAGATTAACTTTAATTCTTTTGGGATGCTTGAATGCATAAAACCCACAACAAAATTCCCTAGTGACAGATCAGAATTGTACTGGGTCTGCAACCTTGCTAACCTTTATCTCCATCAAATTGTTTATGTCTTTGTGAAGAGAGGGAATCAATGCTGCATGAGCTAAGTTTTCTTATGAAGTGGAGGTTGACCGCCCACCTGCCGAGAACTGAAACCAAAACACCCAGAGAGGAGCACCTCGCCTTATAATCTGTAAAAAGGAGTGTGCAAAGTGGTCTAACCTGCCTTTCAGCAGCTTCTAGTGGTTAAATAAAGTAAATCCCTGACACTCACTTTATAATCAACAAGTAACAATTCATCTAACTCTAACAGTGAGCAAATTAATTAAACTTAACAAACTGAATAAACCCCCTTCTAACTACTAACTAATCCCGAATAAAACAAGATTCAAATGGTATGCTGTTCCAAAAAATACAAGTCCCACTTACATAAAATAAAACAATACAATTTAGTCTCTCGAAACTACAGCCAGGTTACGTGTGTTCCAGAATGTTCTGTGCATTCTCTGTCAAATGTTCTGTTAGGAACTCTTTCTCCGTTGATTCTTCTGCCAGGAATATTAATTAGTTGTGCCATAGGTACCTTTGTTCTTTTGATGGTGGTTTCTCTAAGACTTAGAGAAGACTGTGAGAGCCAGTGATTCCTTCTTGAGAGCTATTAACTCTAGCAGATGACAGTTAGCCCTCCTGTCTTTGCCCCACTGCCCTCTTCTTTTATACCCTTGATGACATATTAATTTCCTACACTAGAATAGGTCCTATGTTGTCAAAACCATCAGATTTAAATTTATTTAGTCTTTGGTATCTAAGTGCCTGGTTCAAATTGATTGGCTAAATTCAAAACTTGTTGACAAAACAAAACGGCTTGGCCTGCAAACTGTACAACCTTTTGATACAAATGTTTCAGTTTGAGTGTTCTCTGTATTTGCAAACTTTCAAGCTGCACACATTCTTTTTAAATCTCTAAGCATGGAAACAAAAGCACGTCAGCTTTTAAAGGGGCCATGCAATGCTTTCTCCCTTAACATTTTACCAACACCAAATTCTAACTTCCTGCCTCCCAATCCACAAGCACTCTACCCAAATTTACACCTCCCTCCTTAAGAAAAAGATGAACAATCATTATGAAAAGATGGCTTCATTTTTTTTTTCAAACCTTAACTCCATTATATTACTAGATCCATAGCGCTTTAATCCAGAATTACACATTTTACACCAATTCGTATATGTACAAAACATTGAACACCACTGTTTCTATCTTATATAAACATATTTCTTTTAAACTTGCGATAACATTTTCACGGTCTGCAACATGTACAATCTATAAATTAAATGCTTGTAATATGAGACTCCAAAGAAATACTCTGGTGTTCTTGTTCTTGTCCTTGTCCTTGTCCTTATCCTTATCCTTAAATCATTCCAGAAATGTCAAAGGATTGTGATCAGGACACATAATTGTCTTTGATGCAACATAAATATTAAAATGTTGTAAGGCCATTACCAAACTCAATAACTCTTTTTCAATGGTTGAATATTTTCTTCCACTTCTTTCTGAAGCTGTGCTGTTTTGATAGGATTAAGCCTGTAGGATTGTTGTTTTATTGGAACAAGATTCCTATGCCAACCTCATGTAATGGCATTAGTCCTCCCCATTCTATTTCTACATATGTCCTCATAGCATTGTAACAAGTCTTTCAATTCAGTTTTTTCTTCCTGGGACAGATTCCCAGATTCCTATTCCATTCCTTAAGAACTTCCTCATCATTCAATTTATTCTAAGGCACTTCAAAATCCAAATCATCTGGATTTGATTCCTCACTCCGAGCTGTAGTAACTAATACCTGTTTCCCCCGTTCCCTTTCCCTGTCATAGTAATGTTTCAGCATGATCACATGACATACCTGATAAATCTTTTTTCTATCTGGCATCTTTACCAGATAATTCAACTGACTCAACTTTATCTCAATCTGACAGTGACCACTAAACGTTGCTTTAAAGGAATCTCTTACCACTGGTAACAGCACCAATACTTTATCCCCACAGGCAATTGTACAAACTTTAGATTTCTTACCTGCTTTTTGCTTCATCAGGTGTTGTGCCACCTTCAAATGTTGTCTAGCTAATTCAACTACTCTCTTTAATCGTTTTCTCACTTTCGACATATAATCTGACTGTGATATCTCTGATTTCGTACCTACCAACTTTTCCTTAATTAATTTTAAAGACCCTCTTACTTCGTGTCCAAATATCAATTCAAATTTAGTAAACTGAGTTGATTTGTTTGAAGCATTTCTAACAGCAAATAATATAAATGGGATACCTTTATCCCATCATTTGGGTAATCCTGACCTCAGCATTGTCTTTAGGGTCTGATGCCACCTTTCCAATGTTCCCTGGGATTCAGGGTGGTACGCACTTGATTTAAAGTGTTGGATGTCTAAACTATCCATGACCTCCTTAAATAATCTGGCGGTAAAATTCGACCCTTAATCTCCCTGGGTAGTCCATAATGGGTAGAGAAAGCAAGCAACGCCTCTGCAATCTTTTTTAACTTAATATTCTGTAATAGAATTGCCTCCGGAAACCTGGTAGACACATCATTATCGTTAGCAAATACTAGTTCCCTCTTTTGGCTTTAGGAAGGGGATCTACATAATCAATTATAACCCGTGTGAAAGGTTCTTCAAATGCGGGAATTGGCATCAAAAGTGTTGGTTTTATTACTGCCTGTGGCTTTCCTACCATCTGACACGTATGACAGATATGGCAAAATTCAACCACATCTCTATGTAATCCAGAACAATAGAAATGCTTCTGTATCTTAGCACAAGTCTTCCTCACTCCTACATGACTCTCTACAGGTAATTTGTGTGCTACCCGCAATACTTCCTGTCCGTATTCTACTGGCAACACAATCTGGTGAACTTTCGTCCATTTCTCCTTTGCACTAACTTGCCAAGGTCTCCATTTTCACCTTAGGATTCTATCCTTAAAGGTGAGTGGGTTTTATGATATAAATCTCTTTTATTGTCTCATTCTTTTGTTGTAACTCCATTAGTCTTTCAGAACTAAACTCTGCCTGATCCTCTACCTGCTTAGGTTTTTCCTTTACCATTTCATTAAACAGGGTATCAGCTAACTGGACCTCAAGTCCTCTGTCTTTCTCTTTGGTTTTCCCCCTTCTTCCTTTAACTTATGACTGTGGGATCCTGTCACCACAGAGTCTGGAAAAATTCCAGGGTGTTTTTGGTTTAACTCCTCAGTACCTGGTTTTCTTTCATCTTCTCCACTACAATGGTAATCACTCCCACCTTGGATTCTGCTCGGTCGTTTCCAATAACAAACTGTATTCCTGGAACAGACCCTCCTTCAATCACTCCTACTGTCACTTCCCCAGTCTTGATTGGGCTTTCTAGCCTGAGCTTACACAGGGAACGCTAAATCTCTCTCCTTATATTCCACAGATTATCATTTTCTCCGGTAACATTTCAGAAGGAGCGCAAATATTTTCAACACTTACTATTAGAGACTGACCAGCTCCCGTAACTCTCAACATTGTAACTTCTTTATCTACACCTCTTGCTATACCTAAGTAAACCTTACCCACACAGGTGAAGTCTTTGAAAAGGTCAGGCATTATTTTACTATCCAGCGTGTAACTTGGCACTGCGCTCTCCTTCAGCTCCTCGAATTCTCTTGGGATTTCCTTTACGACCTCAACTAATCCTATTGGTTTAGCCTCTTTCACCACATCCTTTTTCCCAGTAGCTTTCTTAATCCACCAGCACTGCGACTTTGTGCGTCCCCCACTATTACAGTGGGAACACCAGAGGCCTTTCATCACTTTTTCACCCACTTGGGTTTTTTTTTCCACATTTGGTAAACTGTTTCCAGTGTGATCTACTTATTGTATTTCATTGAAGGATCTCCCTTTTTCCCAATTTCTATCCCTCACGGAATAAAATTGCTTTCAGAAGCTAGATTTCAATTTATGCACTAATATGTATTCACCTGCCATCTCTGCAGCTCTTCTCGCTGTTTTAACTTTCTGCCTCAACATGAGTTCTTATCAATCGTGTGGAGCTGGAGGAACACAGCAGGTCAGGCAGCAGAGGAGGAGAAGAGTTGATGTTCTGGGTCGAGATCCTTCATCAGGACAGGGGAAGTCCAGTTCTGGGAAGCCCAGCCCTGAGGAAGGGTCCCGACCCGAAACACTGACTCTCCTTCTCTTCCGATGCTGGCTGACCTGCTGTGTTCCTCCAGCTCCACACTGTATTGACTCTGACTCCAGCCTCTGTAGTTCTTGCTATCTCATGAGTTCTTATCACTTCCGCAAGTGAGTTTTTAAACTCCTCCAGCAGAATAATTTCTCTAAGATCCTCATATGTCTTTTCTATCTTTAATGCTCTCACCCATCTATCGAAGTTGCTATGTTTAACTCTTTTAAATTCCACACAAGTCTGACCTGGTTTCTTCTTTATATTTCTGAACTGTTGTCTATATGCTTCTGGTACCAATTTGTAGGCACTCAAAATAGCCTGTTTTACTTCGTCATATTCTCTTGACACCTCCTTTGACAGCACTGCAAAAACCTCTCCAGCCCTGCCTACCAATTTGGTCTGAATTAACATTACCTATACAGCCTCTGGCCAGTTAATTTGGTTAGCCAATTTCTCAAAAGAAACGAAAAGGCTTCTGCATCTTTTTCATCAAATTTTGGTAATGTTTTGACATATTTCAGCTTTCCTCTTACCCTGTTTGCTAAGTCTAAAAGTATATCCTTCCTCTGTCTTTCTAAACTTTCTTGGCAAATTTGGGGAGCATCTTCAAACCCCAGAATCTCTTTGGCAATATTAAGAGCCATTTCCCCAACTTTTGATTTAAACCACAAGTAACAGAAATTAAACAGATTTTCCACTTCTCACCTAAGTTTTATTTAAAGATCTAGGACACTAATCCCCAAGTCTGTTCAAATCTGTCCAAATCCATCCAGATCCCATACACGAACTGGCCAGATCCCAGACTCGAGCCCCCGAGTCAGTTACAAAAGGAGCGGTCGAACCCCCATCTGATAACTAATTCCGAAACAGAGAAGCTCGCATTGCCTCGTAATCTATAAAAGAAGTGGTTAAATGAAAGAAATTCCTGATATTCACTTCATAATCAACAAGTTACGATTTATTTAACTAACTCTAACAGTTAACAAACAAGCAGAACTACTAACAAACTGAACAATTACTACAAGCTATTCCCAAATAAAACAAAATTCTAATGCAATGCCATTCCAATAGATAAAAGTTCCACTTATATAAACGAAATTAATAAAAAGAAAGGCTTAATCTCTCAAAATTACAGCTGGGATAAGTCTTCCGGAATGTCCGTAGCATTCTCCACTGTCCCCCAGTCAGGAACACCTTCCTCCATTGAAGTTTTGAGTTATGAATATTAGCCAAGAGTGCCGTAGTACATTTATATCGATGATGCTTACTCTGAGATCTTAGAAATTTCCGTGAGAGGTAGTGATTTTCTCTTTTAGAGCTGACGGCTGTTGAGAGCTATTCTCTTACTAGATGGCAGTTTGCTTTCACCGATTTTCAAATGCCCTCTTCTCTTCCCTTGATGACCTATTAATTTATTACAATAGGATTGGTCTGAGTTTGTCAAAACCATCAGGCTTAAATTTAATTGGGTTTGTTATCTAGGGTCTGGTTTAAGTCAATTAGCTAAATTCAAAAACCTGTTGTCTTGGTAAAAATGTTGCTTTGTCTGTTAACAGTATTGCCTTTTGATACAATGTTTCAATTTTACAACTCTGTGTATCTGTTGCTGCCTGCAGACATTTTTTTTCATCTCCAAGCCTAAGAAAACACATCTTTTTAGAGGGACCACACACTCTTTCCCCTATCATTTTACAAACAAATTCTCATGTCCTCTCTTCCAATCCACAAATACTATACCCACTTCACAACACCAGTTGCTAACAGACATCCTTTTTAAATCTCTAAGCATAGTAAAAGCACACCATCTTTTAAAGGACCATACAATGCTTTCCCCCTTAACATGTTACAAAGAACAAATTATAATTTCCTGCCTCCCAATCCACAAGCACTCCACCCAACTTCGTGAAAGTTTGTTTTTGGAAAATACATATTGAACAGGAAATGCTAGTTTTTGTTTTAAGGTCTTGATTTGTTTTCCCCACAACCGACGTATCTCTTTTACATTATCACTGCATCCAGGATCAATGAAAGAATTCAACAGAATGAACTTCTAATGAGAAAAGCCAACAGAAATTTCAAGCTCAAATCCCTCACCATGTCATATTGCTCCTTCTCAACTATTTATTCCAACTGAATGGATACAGGTTCCATTCTGCAAGTTCACAGTTGCTACATGAACATTTTTCTTCATCACTGAACACTTCAGGCCCCTGGCAATAACTTGATGTATTCTAATCCCAGATGAAGCCAAAATGTCACCAAGCTAAAATTCTAAAATGAAGCCTCAAAGAATATGATATATTTGTCAAGAATAATGGACCAATATGGTTTTTGAATGAATATTTTTCCTGTGAAATCCAAACCATTTAATCGATATTATTTTTCCTCATGATTAGTAACAAAAGACAGTCTGCACAGCTGTTAATATTATAAAAGAGCTACAATAATTCAGATCTGATCATGCAATTTCTAAGTCACAGTAATTTTCATTTTAATGCAGATCATACACTCACCTGCAAGACGATTGGCAACTGTTCTGGAGGATTCCTGTTCTCAACACCCATTGTCAGCCAGACCTGAAACGCTGTTAGCTGCTCAGCAAAGAATGGGCTATGCTGTAAAAGAGGCAATTTATGGCCTTGAGCATCAATGCAATCAGCTGGAAAGATTTGTGCAATACCTAACTGCATCAGCATGAGCTGATAGTTAAACTGTATCTACAAGGGCTTTAAAATATATTTAATGCTGTTGAAAATCAGCAGGCCACAATGAACTGACATGAAACTTCCAGTATTTTAAGAGATTTAATGGACAAATACTATGAAGGAGCTATTTCTGAAAACAGAACTCATTCCTTCAATAGATTCTGTACTATCTGCTTGTTTATAAAAAGGAAAGGGGGTCAACTCAATAATCATTTCCTTTAAGGTGGTGAATAGTATTGCATTGACACTAAAGCTGCAGTACAAACATATCTGAGCCTTCCATTCATTGAGAGATGAGAAGAACTCAACAAATCTCATTTGAACTGAAAGTGATTCGTAAACCAAAAGTGCTGTCGAGACTTGTATAATGTGTCTATATGAACTGATACTAAAGCACGTTCACTGTGATTGTACAGCATTCATTCATTTATAATTTCTCCGACACCGAAACTGTCTTTGCCCACATTAACAATCACATATGGACTAATAAAGTAACAGTCACACCGCACAACGTCAGACAATGATCATCTCTAACACAATACAGAATCCAGTGACCTCCTTTACAGCATTCCCATAACTGAATCCCTCGCCATCAACATTCTAGCTGTTAGAACTGACAGTAACACAATCAGCTTAGCTACTTAAAAACTATGATTCCAAAAACAGCTCAAAGACTGAGAATTAACTGATTTCCTGACTCCTCAAAGTTTATCCAAATTATAGAAGGCACAAGCAGGTGTCACAGGATGCTCTCCACTTGCCTGGATGAGCACAGCTGCAACAATGCTCTGTGAAGCTCGATATCATCTACACAGGTGGTCCATATGGTCAGCATCTAATTCACTGCCTTAAGTACTCACCACCTCCAACACAAGTATACAGTGGCAGCAGCATGTACCATCTCTTAGATGCTTTTAGCAATTTATCATGCCACCCTCAATGACATCTTCCAAAGCTTTAAATGATATCATCTGGAGGAGCCAGGACATATGCATAGAAATACCGCCAACTGCAAGTTTCCCTTCAAGCTACACTTCATTCAAACTTGGCATTGTGTAGCTTTTCCTTCACTGTTGCTGGGTCAAGAATCCTGGAACTTCCTTCTTAACGGCATCCTAAGTGTAACTACCCACCACTAGACAGTAACATAGAACATAGAACATAACAGCGCAGTACAGGCCCTTCGGCCCTCGATGTTGCACCGACCTGTGAAACCAATCTGAAGCCCATCTAACCTAAACTATTCCATTATCATCCATATGTTTATCCAATGACCATTTAAATGCCCTTAAACTTGGCGAGTCAACTGTTTTTGCAGGCAAGGCATTCCACACCCTTACTACTCTCAAGACAGCTGCTCACTGGAATCTTACAAAGATAATTAGAGTTGGATGACAAATACTGGCCTTTCGAGCAATGTTCACATCCTATGAACAGATTAAAAGAACATTTGGTACACTTACAAGCAATACAATTTTTTTCCATCCAGAAGATGACACACCAAGTCACAAGAAAGAATTCTGGTTGCCCTTCTGTAGGGAGGATGTTGTTGCGAGGGTGCATAACAGATTTACAAGGATATTGCTTGGACTGTAGGGTTTGCGTTATAGGAAGAGGCTGAATAGGCTGGATCCTTTTTCCCCCTGGAGTGTTGGAGGCTGAGGTGTGATCTTATAGAGGTTTATAAAATCGCGAGGGGCATGGATAGGGTGAATAGCCAAGGTCTTTTTCCTAGGGTGGGGAGTCCAAAACTAGAGGCCATAGGTTTCAGGTGAAAGGGGCAAGATTTAAAAAGGACCTGAGGAGTAACATTTTCACAGAGGATGGTGCATGTATGGAACGAGCTGCCAGAGGAAGTGGTGGAGGCAGGTACAATTAGAACATTTAAAAGGCATCTGGATGGGTACATGAATAGGAAGGGATACGGGGCAAATGCAGGAAGATGAGATTCGGTCAGATTGAGAAGTCTGGTCGGTGTGCATGAGTTGGACCAAATGGTCTGTTTCCATGCTGTATGACTCTTTGACTCTATAATCATTTGGCCTTCACAGTTTAGGTCTCAGATGTTACTGCACTGCCAGCTTATTGCATTCTTTCATCACTCACTGTTTCACATCCCTTTCCCCCCTTCAAATCCACTTCTTATACCCCAATGTCTACAAAAATAAACACTTATAATTCTGACATTTTCTGCAGCAAGAGTGTCACTAATGCGTCTAGTGAGAAAATGATTAGGTTGAAAATGATCACTGCGAATGAAATTTTCTGAATTCCAACAGCCTAAACGTAACTGATTTAGAGCACAAAAGAAAGCGACAATACTCAGGTGCAACATCTGGAAGGTGGATAAGAGGGAAAATCTGGGAAACGATTCTATCTGATTGGAAAAAGGAGATGCAAAGATTTTCAGCCAAATTAAACACACTTAAATGTATACTTTTGCAATTAAATTATATGGCTCTTTTTTTAAAAAACGTGATTTACATAAATTGCTTGCATTCTCTGGGAATTGATCCCTATTGCATGCTGAAAGCCATATAAATATTCTGCAGGGCAATGGTTTTTCAACTGGACCGCGTTAGGAAGCATACCTGCAATAGCAAAACTGAACACTGTTAACATAGAAAACCCCCTCAAAGAATGTCAGAGTGGCCTGAGGAAAACAATGGACACAGCCAAAAGAAGAGATTTATAGAGTGTGTGATGAAGGCTGCATTATGTACATAATATTTCTTGGGATCTGTATTTAAAATAAAGACGGTAGATTTTGGTTTGTCCTGTGAAGGCGATTTTATTTTTAAAAGGGTCAGAAATTCATTTGGGCAGTCACTTAAACACACTATGCCCCATGTTAAGTGATAAAATGTTAATACTATTGGGTTTATGGCAGATAGAGGAAATGCATTAAGGCAATTAGTTTAGTTTCAGCTAAGAACAGAAAGTTCAAGGTTCCTATTCAGAAGAAAGCAGTTTTACCTCCCAATGGGAGAATCAAATTTTCCAGTTCAATTCTGGGCAACCAGGAATCACAGTCCACTGTGGGTTCTAGTCTGTGAAACTTCCAAGCTGTTCAAGTGGTCTGAACTCAGAAACATTTCAGCCGAGACTAAGAGAGGATCTTGCCAGAGGACTCAGAAGGGGTTAACAGAAGTGTCAGCAGTCCAAGAAAAAGAAACTGGAAAGCATAAGTAAAGATTTGAAAGAGAGCTGATATAGTAGTGATATTTCTCTAGGATTGAGTCTTTGCAACTGAGGCAAGGAGTGGGGAAACAGATTGAAATGTTGTTTCATGTGTTAAGATCTTCTAACTATCTTCTACCAAGTTTTGACTTTTTCTTCTTTGCATAATAAACTTATGTTATGTTGCTAAAGAACATCTGCAGCCTCCTGTGAAAACCACCCATGTTATCCAACTACTAAAACTGAACATATGAACCATGATGCCAGGTTTCATTCTGGGATCTAAATTGTCCAATATTACCATCAGCTGGGGCCATAAGAGTGATATTCAAAAGCTTCATCAAACATTGTTTTTTTTTTGTTAGGGTCTTACCCAAAGGAACTGGAAGTTAAGGGGAGAGAAGGAGAAACACATATGGGCAAAGTATTGTAGCAGTGGAGATGGTCAGAGATATGGAGGGAAATGGTCATAAAGTATTTGCTACAATGTAAACACAATAGAGGGTTTGAAATCTGAGGAATTTGAGTTCTACGAGCAAAGATTATTCAGCAAGGATATGGGTGCTGCAATTCATTGCACGTTAGCATATGAGACAGGAGAACTTTGGACACATTGAAGTTTACAGAGGGTGAAAATCAGTCAAGGATATAGTGGAGCAACTGTATCTGGAGGTGACACGTAAGAGTTACAAGAAAGAGAATAACTAAGAGATGAAAGGGATTATGGGGTTCAAGCGATAACAAGGTGTAGAGCTGGATGAACACAGCAGGCCTAGCAGCATCAGAGGAGCAGGAAAGCTGACGTTTCGGGCCGAGACCCTTCTTCAGAAAATGGGGTTCAAACCTCATTCAAACCTTATCTCAGAACCAAACTGGTCAGTGATGATTCCCACAGCCAGGTTTGGTCAAACACACTAATCAGTAAGGGGAATTAAACAAGAACAGAAATTACTAGAAAAGCTCAACAGCTCTGGCAGGAGAGAAATCAGATTTAATGTTTCGGGTCCAGTGACCCTTCCTCAGAACTGAAGGTAGCTAGGAAAAAGCTGTTTCTATGCAAAAGATAGGGTAGGGAGAGGGGTTAAGGAGTAAACAATAAGTAAGGAGATAAAGGCCAAAGAGAGAGAAGAGCAGTTGAACAGACAAAGGAGTGCATAACTATCAGTGGGGGCTATTAGTGGCTAACAATTGGCTGTGTGTAATAGTAGAGCATGTGATAACAAGGCCTGGTGTGGGGGTGTTGGAGTAAGGACATGGGAGAAGGTGCCTCAAGCCCTAAAATTGTTGAACTTGAAATTGAGTCCAGAAGGCTGTAGAGTTCCCAAGCAGAAAATGAGGCTCTGTTTCCCAAAGTAACAACTCACCTCCAACCAACCCCCCCACACACACGCCAGGCCAATGTTATCACATTGTAGCAAATACTACACAACCCATTGTTACACACTAATAGTTCCCATCGGTAGCTATTCATTCTCCGAGGGTAATCGTTATCCACTCCTTTATCTGTCCAAATATTCTTCTCTCTGGGCTCTATCTGCGCTTATTGTTTACTCCTTACCCCTTCCCCACCCTATCTTCAGCATAAAAAACACCTTTTCCCAAGCTACCATCAGTTTTGAAGAAGGGTCACAGGACTGGAAACATTAACTTTGATTTCTCTCCACAGATGCTGCCAGACCTGCTGAGCTTTTCTGGCAATTTCTGTTTTTGTTTTTTGATTTCCAGCATCT